GGGGGGGGGGATTGATCCCCCTGCACTTGGGGTACACCTGCTTAAGAGATTTACCGGCGGACGATCAAGAACGATGACGCAGGCGGCGGGTGTTCTAGAATCCTTGCATTCGGTACATAGAGGATAACCAGAAAAAAAAGTACGGCGGCTTAGAAACAACCATACATGGCCCGCCGTATGTCGGAAAGGTACCAAACCATGTGAACTTGCAACACACACCTTCGATCGCTCTGTAACTTCCTCCCTCGGTCGTCTGATGATGGCAAGTCTCACTCCTAGAGAGGTGTCTCTGAGGTGGATATGAGCGGGCTTCAATCGCTAATGGGCGCTGCCTGGGCCTGGAAGGTACGTAATCACCGTGTGCCCGTCTGACGTTCGGCCCGTCCGTCCGTCACCCCCCCCCCCCCACGCCCATGCCCCAAGAGTACTTTAACTAGCGGAGGAAGAAGAATAGCGGGTAGAACATAAACGTCCCCGATTGGTCGAGAGCTTCCCGACTCTACGTCACGCCGCTAGTGGGGGTAAGCGCTCGACCAATCGGGAACGTTTATGTTCTACCCGCTAGTCTTCTCCTTCCTTCGGGGTGAGGTGCAGGGGTAAAGGGGGGAGGGGAGCAAGTGCCACTACCACGGATTCCAGATTCCTCCCTCAGCATTTAAAAAGAATACTCCTCCCACAGCCCCACGACCTGCCATCACATCACATCGTGGAAAGAGCTATCAAATCGCTTTTCCTTTGCCTCCAGTGACTGTCGCCCCGCCAGCCCTGCCCGACGGCACCCTTCATCGACCCCTCACCGCCAGTACAGACTGACGGCACAGCCCAACGCAGACCACTCGCCCGGAATATTTTTGCGCAACTAATTAAAAACTTCCACGATTTTTTTCTCCGCGGCCATCGCCATCGTTAAGTCTACGGGGCGGGGCGGGGCAGGCGGCTGATGGCGACAAGTTGTACACGTGACACAAACGCGCCAAACCTTTCGACAAAGGGAAACAGAAACACGGAGGCGGGGCTTGTCCAGACTTGGCCAACTTATTGCGTCCACGTTCCGAGTTTCAGTGGGAGGCTTTAATTCGGGGACCCGGCGTTGCGAAAAGGTGCTTACTTCCGGACCCCTCCATTACGCGCGGGAAAAGTGTGTTGCTGTCGCAGTCTGCCCTGGCTGGGCCGACTCACCTTCCAGTTGAAGAGGCTGGCGGATGCCATCCAGGACCTCCGTTGCGGTGCCGCCGGCTCCCCGGGCCGCGCGTCGCCCTCCCCGTCGATGCTGGGCAGCAGGGCCTCCACGAAGATGCGCGTGCTCGCGTGCGAGGCGCGCTGCCGGCTGCGCGTCAGGTCAATGATGTTGTGGTCCAGGTCGTCCTCGTTGGTGTACAGCCCGTTGTTCGTCTTGCGGTGGGCCGGGATGTGCGGGGCGTCGCCCATCATCATGGGGTCCAGCATGAGCGGGGGCAGCTTGCTGTCCACCCCCGGCGGCTGGCGCTGAGGCAGCAGCGACGGCGGCAGTCCCGGCGGCGGTGGCGGCACCGCGAGACCCCGTCGACGAGGAGTCTTGGCTTCGCCCGAGTCCGACGAGTCGTCATCTTCGTCATCGTCGTCGTCCTCTTCATCGTCGGGCAGGGCGTTGGGTACGAAGGGCGCCGCCGTCGGGAGCAGGCGCACGGCGGCGGGTGCGGGTGGCGCGGCCGGGGGCAGCTCCGGGGCGGACACCATGGCCACCACCTGGCCCTGCCCAGGGTAGTCCTCGCTGTCCTCGTCGTCGTCCTCCGGCACTGCGGGTGACTCGGGGTGCCGGCTGTGCGGCCCGGCCTGTTGAGGTGGGTGGTGGACGTTGGGGTTGACCGAGGCACGCTGGCCCGCCCCGCCCAGCGTGAACATGCACCTGACGGCCGTCTCCAGGTCGGGGGCGGAGGCGTACGCCGGCAGTAGCAGAGCGACGAAGAAGGCGCAGCCGCCCAGCGCCACTACGGCGCTCATGAGCAGCAGCGGGCGCGTCCGCAGCCCGCACGGCCCGCAGCACCAGCGGCCGCGTCGCTTCACGTGCCGGGGGGCCATGGCGTCCTGGTGGACGTCCTCGTGGACCTCTCGCTGCGGCAGGATCGTGTACTGCAGGCTGGCGTCGCCCTCGCGGACCGTCTTGTACATCCTCACGGACCGACGCGCGCTCGGGACGCCGGGCACGCCGCGACGCCGCGGGGCCCGCAGGAGGGCATGGCCACCGTGACCAGACCTGATCAGAGCCTGCGGAGCCGACCGTCAAATCGTCCTTGTTTTCGTCAAGAGGATACAGACAGGCACCGGCGAGAGAAGCGGCACGACGCGGCTCGTTCCACAACCTCCGGCAGCGAGCGCGTTCGAGAGACTGAGCCCGCCCTCGCCTGCGGCCTGCGTTGCGCCGCCCTAGCCGCGCTGGAGGCGACCGAGACGCCCTCCCACCCCCTCGCGCGTCCCGTGCGCGGCGCGCGAGCTGGCTGCTGGCTGTGCTGGCTCTCTGGCGGTAGTGTTGTTTGTTGTTGGCGAGTGCAGGTTGAGGAGGGTTCAGGTGTTGACAGTGTTTGGTTCATTTGGTGGGGGAAAGGGGGAGGGGGGGTGAGTGCAGGTCGGTTCGGCTGGGAGCTATAGGCACATTCATATTTTATTGGTCCAAAGTAATACCGAGTTGTCGGTATATATACACCGTATACATCGTAGATAAAGAAAGGGGAAGCAACACTCATAAAAGAGCATAGCCATGGCTTTCCTTGCCCGGTTCCTTCTTCTCATAGCTTTGGCCACACTGGCCACACTGGCTACACCCCTACACCCGTGAAAACCACAAAATTCCCCGACGCTGGCCGCAACTCCGCCGCCACTCTCCTGCCAACATAGGCCTATAGGCCTCGGCAAAGTTCTCTGAGAGGAAAAAAAAAAAAAAAAAAAACCACAAAGCACCCCAATAAAACCCTATACATTTCAGCCACCGTCACTGTTCGCGACGGTGCCGTTAAAGGGCAACCCCCGACCCCCCAAAATAATAAATATAATAGTAATAATAATAATAAATAACAATGTAATGACAATAAATCAGAGAGCAACATTACAAATAACAACAGATGAAAAAATACAGCTTTCATAATGAATAACTTGCCCAATCTGAAATCATCAATCAAAAAGATATAAATTTGATGAAAATGTGGTCCCTAACTAGCTGACGTTTTGATAAACTTTTGTCAAATTGATCGATCATTTCAAATTGGTAAAACAGTCAAGGAACAGTCTATTATTTTATTATCACGATTTGCGGATTGATGAGATTCGCCCAGAAACAGGGGTTGATAGAGGTATTACATTAAGTTTAGTCCCCAAGTGCCAAACACATCAAATGCGCTTCAGTGTGAGGTTACACATTTACTTGGCAGGTGGGGGATTGAGATCAACATTTGATAGAAAATATTGACATATTGGACATAACATTTGTAGCACATATGATTACCAGGAAATATACTTATTATAGAAGGATTCCGTCTATCACAAGGAAAAAAAAATGATACAAAACATTTCAAAGAGGACAAAAAACATGACAAGTAACAAAATAAGAGATAAAAAACAAACTACACTAGACTATACTACCTAATGCACCATCAGAAATAATTGAAACTTTTCTTTACTGTCATCACATCACCAGATTCATTTCAAGCATGGTCTTGATTCTGCATCATTGCTGTGGGCTCCATCTTTATTTTCAAATTCATAGAACTGTAAAAAAAAAAAAAAACATCCCATTAGCAACATAAACTTTGAGAGGATGCTTCCTTAGATGATAAGGGCAATAAAGATACCTTTTTCATTTCCAAGTTGCCATCTAAACCTGCCATGCTTGTCAGATTAGCTGCACTTCTTTCATTACAAACAGTGTATTGTCGTTTCAAATAACGTGAAATTGGAGGTATAAACATATTGGGATCTTTTTTCTCATTAGGATTATTTTTAATAAAATTAACAACCAGGCTTACTGATGCACCCACAAACAAACATAGGATACAGCCTATAAAACTCAGCCACAGATAAGAAATCCGATAAATGTAGAAATATTCATGACTGGGTCTGAAATGATAAGTAAATTAGGTCATGACGTGAATTAATGAGCCACAACCTAGATGCACAGGATGGTGCAAAATAAAAATTACTACTTACTCTCTAGGAAGGAAGTTTGATAGACAGGCTGTTGAGTTATAGTACTGCTCATAATGTGAACATTGATCTGAAAATGCTTTCAACTTGATGGGGGGTGGCTTGTCAGCAAATCCAATCCAAAATGTGAAGAGGAGAGATACAATGTAACCACTCACACCACCCTAAAACATAGTGTAGTTCTCTTATTAAATTTTTTTGGCTCTTAAAATGTTTTGATTTTTTTAATTTTTTTTAGAAATAAGAGGGTTGTTTTTACACCAACATACTTACAATTTCGTTTGCATGTGGAAAACACATTCCCAGGGAGAATAGGCCAACTGTGGGTCCCCCCACTACTCCCAATATTGTGAGGGATGCTTGCAACACACCTCCCCATCGGTCAGCTATGAAAGCGAGCATAATACAAATCAACCCATAAAATACTGAAACGAGCTTGGCACACAAGCTTCTTTCATCAGGAAATTTTCGTCGTTTGACTTTTTCATAAACAGGCTGAAAGTAAAATTAATTACAGGATAAAAGTTTAAGACGAGAATATAAAGCTGTGGGATGAAATAATTATTTTTAATTTTAAAAACTACTTCAGTTTACCTTCACATAGTCTTCTAAAGTGACAGCTGCTAATGAATTCATTGCTGCCGAAACAGTACTCAAAGCAGCACTAAAAATTCCAGAAACAAACAGACCTGGAAGTCCAGGAATGTGTGCCATAGTGTCTATAACATAATGTGGCATTAGCTGAGGAAACAAAAGAAAAGAAAGTACATGTTCAACAAAATGTATTTAAGCTCCTGCCAAAAAAATAATAATAACAATAATAATAATTGAGATCGAAGTTGCTAATAAAATTGAATGAGCATAGAAAGATAATCAAAACTTAACCTGATCAGACCGTTGAATCTGACATGTTGTGAAAGGGTCACATCTGGCATATTTTGAAAAAATTGCAAGTCCAGCAAAACTTGAGGATAAACTCATGAGTGAAACAAGTGGCCAGTTTAACCACACAGCTTTTTGAGCAGTTTCTAATTTACTAGAATTAGAAGAAATATAGGCAATTGAAAAGACACTAGGTATATAGATAATGCAGTTAACAAGAAATATTTACCCAGAAGACATGTAACGCTGAATCTGACCCTGATTAACTGCATAAACAGAGAGGTATGTAATACCACCGCCAAGTATTACACCCCACCATGTGTGCCTTACAGTGGGGTCAAAATCAATGCTAAAAAGAAATTTGTATCACAATAAACATGGTACATGTATTTTAATTAGAAGAGAACACAGTATAGGGAAAATGTGCCTACTTATTGAACTCAATGCGACCATGAGCATTTGCAATCTGCCATATCTCTGCAAGGCTACTTTTGTCAATCCAGGCCACAAAAATCACACTAAAAACAGCAGCATACATCAAGAGACTCTGTAAATCCATAAATAATTACTTCTAAAAGGAAAACTACAAACACAGTAATTTTAAGAAAATAGTAAGAATTTCTTGAAGCACATACCTGGAAGACATCTGTGAAGATAATAGCCTTTAAACCACCAATTGCTGAGTAGAATGTACACACAAAACCAACTATTAAAATGGCGTATGACTTTGGCAGTTTTGTAATTGTTTCTAAAGCTAATGCTGGTGCATACAATGCCACACCCATGTACAGCATCATTTGTGTGGTAAATGCCACAGACCCTGCCAGACGTGCAATTTTACCAAACCGTTTCTCAAGGTACTGCAAGTGCAACACATAAACCAGAATAAATAACATTGTTTTGACCAGAAGAAACAGAAAAGAAAAGGTATGTCAGGGTAGATAACAACAACAAAAATAATACATACCTGGTAAACACTTGTAACTCCAAGTTGGAAATACACAGGCACAAACAAGTGAGAGATAATTGGAGTGACAAGTCCAAAGGCTACATTGTGAATTGTAAACATGGTGCCATAGGAATAGTTCTCGGCACTAACACCTAGTAGTGTTACAGCTGACATGAAGCTAGACATTAACGAGAATGCCAAAGGAAGGGCACTCATTTGGCCATTCGCAAACAAATACTCCTGCAATTGAAACAAACTTCCACTGTAACAATTATAAAATAACTTATCATGTTTAAAGGTTCATGTATTACTCACGTAATTTGTTTTTTGTCGGCCGCCAGAGAAACGAAAATAAAGTCCAATACTTGATGATATAAGAAGCATAGTAATGAGAACAGAGTAGTTCACAAGGCCAAAACTATACGAATCCATCTTAAAGGTTTCAGAGCAGACAAATTAAAGTGAGCTGTTCAATAGTTGAGTTTAGAGTTCACCATCCTCCGTATAATTATGAAAGTGTTGCACTTTTATTGCAAGTTAGAAATGAGTTGGAAAGTTCAAAAATTACTGCATATTCAGCAGGTGAATGGCCACCCACATGCACTAATTTACCCTATGAAACAAAACATTCGCAAACTAACAGTTTGCTAGCAGTTAAGATTATGAAATACTGGTAGAATAAGTATGGGATGGGAAGATGTATCTGATAGTAACACGGTCTCGTGTTGAGTTTTACTTGCAAATGTTGAATTTCCAGGGCGACTAGGGGTATTTTCTCTGATCATGTGTTCTGCTGGCCGACATGACAATTTGCCGGTATAATCCCTTCTGACATCGATGGCAATAACCATTCTCAACAGAATGGAAGGGGGCAAACTAATCAAATCGACGGAACATACTATTTGACAGAAATCATTTTGTTTAAAGTTAAAAACATCACAAAATTGTCGTCTTTCACGAACTTAGCCTGATTTGTGGTGAGTAATTCTCATACTTCTGAAAACTTCAACGCCTTCTAAAGTACTTCGTTCCGCCTTACTCCTTCTTGACACAACTTTTGTCTAAACCAACCTCTACGTATCAATCATGGCGAATTTGTACAGCAGGTTACAACAATGATGCCTTGTTTTTGCTGAAGTTTGTAAACACTAATTGGGCCATAGTGAAGTTTAAGTGAAACTTCTATTTTCTGTCTCCATGGTCTGCTTCCTACTACTTTAGTATGCGTTGAAAAATCTCCGGAGAGCATATGCCATGAAAAGTGGAACAGCCCAGTGGTCCTGCATTTGGATGGAGATCCGGAGCAAGCAGCTGCAAACCACCGACCAACTGTGTTCAATTTCCTTCGCAATTAGTGGCTGCAGCATTCAAGCTAAACCTAGCCCTTCTGGGAGAGCAAGGTTCCGTCGCAGGAACGAATGCCTCCCCTGTTGACTTCCATGGAACACAAGAGACCTGTGCAAGGTATCAACAATGGCAGAGAGGGTGTGTACAGTGCCCAAAGCCACAGCAGTTATGCTGAATCTTCTATCAGCAGCGCTAGCAGGTTTAGTGCGGGATGGACCGGCTACTCCGGGTCGCAGCTTAGTCATGGCAGCAGGTCTGCATCCCCAGCTGTGACCCACAGTCGCATACGAAGCCCTCAACAAACTCCCCAACATTCTAATAGCTTTACCACAATCAGAAGGCACGATGCCAACAATCTCTGGACAGCTCTCTATGACTATGATGCCCAAGGTGAAGATGAACTCAGTCTTCGCCGTGGTCGAATTGTTGAAGTCCTCTCATATGACTCAAAAATATCAGGTGACGATGGCTGGTGGACTGGCAAGATTGGGGACAAAGTGGGTATTTTTCCTTCAAATTTTGTAGAAAACGATATAAAACCAGTAGAGATAGACTACAGTGAATTACAACTTTGCGAAGTTATTGGAGTTGGTGGTTTTGGAAAAGTTTTTCGTGCTTACTGGCGAAGCACAGAAGTGGCAGTGAAAGAAGCTCGTCAAGAACCTGATGAAGATGTTAATGATACCTTGGAGAAAATGCGGCAGGAAGCTAATCTCTCCTGGCTGTTGGACCATGATAATATTGTGAACCTGATAGGAGTATGTTTGCAGAAACCTAATTTATGTTTGGTTATGGAGTATGCCCGTGGAGGTTCATTAAATAGAGTATTAGCTGGCGGTAAAATACCTCCTGATGTTTTAGTAGATTGGGCTATACAGATTGGAAGAGGAATGAATTACCTGCATAATGGAGCACCTATATCAATCATACATCGTGATCTGAAATCCTCTAATGGTAAGTGGTCCAAAAGTCTTTGTGTAACTAGTCACTGTTTTATATTTGACCATTAAATTGTCATAGAATTTTTATTTTTTTAAACTGTTTCATTACATTAAAATGATGATTTTTGATTTAATGAATATCTCTATCTGCGATTTCTCCCACCATACCCTTATTTATATATTCTTTTCAGACCAGAAATGTACCCTCTTATTCCTGCCTCAGTGAATTAGTTGTTACCATTTGTAGACCTGCTTAGTGAGTTATTGTTGTTGTTTTTTTTCCCCCAGTACTCTTAACAGAGCGCATAAGTGATGATGATGATTTACGAAAGAAAACTTTAAAAATAACAGATTTTGGTTTGGCCCGTGAAGTTTATAAGACTGAGCATATGTCAGCTGCTGGGACCTATGCCTGGATGGCCCCTGAGGTTATGCGTGATTCATGTTTCAGCAAGTTTAGTGACGTGTGGAGGTAATACACAGTCCTGCTTAGAGAGCCTGGTGTTAATGTGTTTTTTATCCAACAATTTTATTTGTTTTGTGTTAATAACCACTGGTTTATTAATCTGTTTTGTGTGTGTTTGTGCAGTTATGGTGTGTTGCTGTGGGAACTTTTAACAGGGGAAACACCTTACAAGGGGATAGATGCATTAGCAGTTGTTTATGGTGTTGCTATCAATAAACTTACTCTTCCAATCCCTAAAACATGTCCAAAGCCATGGAGGGATTTGATGGAAGGTAAGTGCTAATTATTTGTTGAGATTGGACATCATTTCATAAGAAGTAGATGTTAGGTACTTACATTTAGGAGATCAAATTTAATTCTACTACTGTATAATTTCATTGTTTCAGCTTGTTGGCACGCAGACCCTCATGAAAGGCCATCCTTTGAGGGGATACTGTTGGCTCTTGATAAAATTAAGCACTCAGCTTTTACCCAGACACCACATGACAGCTTCCACACAATGCAAGCTGATTGGAAATTAGAAATTGAAGAAGTTCTCAGGGGTCTTAGGCAAAAAGAGAAAGTAATATTTTGTGGAACACTTTTGGTAACCTATTGTTTATAATGAAGGTACGCACGCTCTAATAATTGAATTCTCTATTTAACCTGCATAGGAGTTGCGATCTAGAGAAGAACAGCTGTCCAAAGTTCAGCTGCAACAGAAACAAACTGAAGAGAACCTTAAACTACGAGAGCAAGAACTTGCTGCTCGCGAAATTCAATTGGTTGAGAGAGAATTGAACATGATGATGATGCAGCAGAATGCTACTCCTCAACCTAACAAACGTAAAGGCAAAAAGTCTCATTTAAAACTTCTCAAAAAAGAACCAAGCCAAATCAGTGCTCCCTCAGGTAAGAGTTCCAACTCTGTTGGCCCCGCAGTCTAATCTAATCTAATTGATTGTTAAATTAAAATCCATCTCAATTCTTAGGTTTTCGGCATACAATAACAGTAAAGCATGAAGAAAGACTTGGGGGTAATCCAAACAGTCCTCCTGGGTCTCCAAGCATAGGGCCTCGTCTCCATGTAATTGCCAGTAAGTTGCAATGAATTCATACTTCTGCACATGTGTGATGACCTGATGTAGCAAATTTTTCTTTTGCATAATTTCGCATACCTACAACAGCACTTATAAATTTCCTTCAGATTGTATTTTTCCTTACACTGCTGATTTGTTTTGCCTTTGAGTGGTAATTTCCTTTGAAAAGCTTACATGCGGAGGTTTTTTTTCTTGCCACCACAAAAGTAGTTTGGCTTCCTTTTCCAGCAGTCAAATCAAAACCCTTTTTGCAACCAGAATTAAATTTTGTTTATGAAACATTAGTGTATTTGGATTTTGGCATGTTAATCATACAAAGAGTGGGTGTGTGAATGTATTTTGCGCATTCTGTAGGATTTTACAGTATTATTTTTTGTGGTGCTTTTGTACAATGAATTGAATCCTTTCAAAGTAAGCTTTGTTAGCTATTGGTATTATTATTTTATTTTTTTTCCAAATCCAAGGAATTAAAAATGGCAAAGAGTCATTCATACCACTGAAATAACAGGCAATATACAAGTCACAATTGTTGTAGCTTTAAGGGAGTTTTGAGGGAATACTGGTAAACCATACAGGATTGTACTCACTTACACGTGATATTTTCAAGTTTGCATAGGGTTTAGCTGTCAGCTTCAAAACTACTCAGTGGCAGTGCCCCTCAAGTCTAAGTTGTCTTTGGTTGCTGATAGTTACATCCTCTGTGATTTTGCCTTAAATATTTTTAAATACTATCTTTGAATGTGAAACTCCCCCTTCCTGTAGATCCTTTAGTGTCGGGTGAAGGCATCAAGGGCAAGACGTGGGGCCCCAGCACTTGCCATCAGCGAGAACGAGGGCAAATCATCACGCGTGTTTCGGACACGGCTAGCCAGAAGCGCTGGAGCAAGAGTGCACCGAACTTGGAGAAGCACACTGGCGCTCGTTCAGCTGTCTCAGGCCTGCCGAACTTTGGGGTCCTCCAAGAAATAGGTAGGATGGTTGAAGGGGATGGGCAGGGGCAGGAACGTTCGAGCCGAGCATGCTCTGATAGTAACATTTCTGTGGATACAGATAACCGCTGGCCCAATAGTGTTACTAGCTCTCATAGGTGAAACAAGTTACACCTGAAAGTTGGATGCTTACATATTTTTCTTATCATATTTCACTTGTAATAGTATGACTCAAGGGGCCAAATGTTTCTTTCATATTAAGATGCATCTTTTAAATAACAAATACATCAGCAACCCTTTTCACATTAGTGAAGCTTTTGGCTTGTGTTATAAGGCCCTATCTATAGCTGATGAAAGATACCCCCATTTTCCTGAGTTGTTTTTCTCTCTCTTCTTTTGTTTATTACTTGCTTGACATGTAGGAAATGGTGCCTACTACCATGTATTTGGATCTATTGGCCTCTCCATGTTAAGCAAAGAATTTCTACCCATTCTCTGTTTTTTCTTCCTTCCTTTTTTTTTTTTTTTTTTTTTGAACAAAAGATATCTGTTGATCAATTAACTCGCTTGCATGGTCCCTTTCAAACCTGAATTTTTTTATCTTTTATTTTCAAGAAAAAAGAATTTTGTTTTAGTGACCTACCTACCATTTGTTATTGTTATATTTATAAGTAGAGATAGTAGACATAAAGTATAGTTAGATAAGAAATGTTGGTAATTAGACAAGCTACAGCTTTTCTATAATATAGAAGTATTTAATTGCTAAGTTTTTGCAGTTCTCCAGGATATAACATGCAAGCTGAAAGATTCCACCTTTACCATAATTTGTTGCTGTGAAGTAGTTGTTTGCTTAAAATTTGTTTTGAATGTCTTTGCATTGTGTGAGTAAAGTACTTATGCTGAGTTTATCAGTTTCATTGTTGTTGCTTTCTTATTATCTAATCTATATTTTTCATTGTGAGAGTTATTTGTATTGGCCTAGTTTTGTACAATATTGCTCCAAAAATCTATCATTCAACCTGAAGTGACCATTAAAATGGTTATTCGTTACAAGAAATTTTTCTCTATATCCATGAGTGCAGTAGGTTATTGGTGCCTAACACTGTGAATGTTGTCTGTAGTATTCTAAAGTTTCAATAAAATTGAAAATTTTGGCATCTGCAGAATGTTTGTAAGTATTGTAACTAATTTAATTTAACCCTCTTTGAAAAGCATCTAACAATGCTTTTAAAACACTATTACTGAATTCGCTGCTTACCTTCATCTCTATTCTTTAATTGGTGGAAGATTGCTCACACTTGGTATTTCAGTATGTTGTTGAATATGAATGATTTAATTGAGAGCAGGAGTGAATTCCACACCAGAATCAACATAATATTTCAGCAGAAACATACAAAAACAATTTTTGGCTCATGCAGTTAGCTAATGCACTTTTCCCTTACACATATTTTTAGTAACACAACGTAGAAAATTAAATTGAGTTGCTTTGACCATCCTAAGTAATTGTTTACATGCCTAGTAGTCATAAAATTTTAGTGTTATTTAGTTTCACCTATCTCTTTTTGCAATTTGTGTGAGTTGAAACTTAATGCTGGAACGTAGTGTTACTCATTCATCAGATTCATTCTTCAATATTTAAACGTTCAAAGGTATGAAATTCTATCTATTTTTCACAACCCAATAATAATTTTCATCTCAGAGTCAGTTTGCCTACCATTGCTGAAGGAGAATCATAAGATACGTTAGTCAATTCTATCTTTCCTTTAAACAGATTATGGAAATAATGTGATTCCATCTGAGGGAGAGTGGTGTGGCGAATCATCAGCCATCAGTCCTATGCAATCCCAAATCTTGCCTCCATTGCAAATACCAATGCCCACACTCTATAATGGTACTGCAGCGGACCCAATGCGACCTCGACCAAAGCCATCGATAATTGAAATGGTCTTATACAATATGGCAGCTATGCTTGCAAGTTTTGCTGCTGGTTATGATGTCAGACTCTCAAATGTCACGCCTTTTCACCCTTGCTTGCATCCAGAAAGGTAAAGAAGAAATATGACAGAGAAATATTGTGAAATGTTTGGATTTTCATTACTAATTTTTGTTACATTATTTTAGGAACGAAGATTTAGGAACACAAAATCAGCAGTGGCATAGAGGCCCTGATAGTGGGTTCTTGAGGAATTTGTATGGATCAGCTGAGATGGAGTTTGCTTCATCCTCAGGTTAGTGTCTATCCTGAAATCGCTGATGAAAAAAAAATCTAATCTATATGTGGTCTAAAATGTCATGTTAATGTTTAGGCTATCCACACAACACTTACCATGGACCAGTTAGACATTATCGTCCCCATTTAAACAGTGTCTTGATGCAAAAACAAACAGAATCAAATTATACATCCCCCACTAGTGATGAAGATATCAGACCACTGCATTCCCAGCTGTCAGCTCTAAAACTTACACATTCTGGTTCTCAAGGAAGTTCCCTTGCTGGATCAAGAACTGTGTCAAGGTCCAGTTCCAGAGCAGGGTCTCCAAGAAGGAAGAACAGTCTTAGCTGTGAACCCTCTGAGGTTTGTTTTTGATTCCTTTGTCCCTCTGTCAGTTTTGCCTACCTTGTTGCCTCTGACTTTTGTATTTTGTCTAATTTCAGGCACCGTCTACTCTTGGATCTCCATTTCTACATAATCGCTCAATAGGCTCAACAAATGAAAAACTAAACTATGTAACTTTTCAGTACACTCCTGGCCTCGAAGCTTCAGATATTTCTCAAATGAATTTATTGCAACGGCAACCATCTAGTGATTATCAGGGCTCTCCTTTACACTACAAACCTCGACATGAATTAGAGATTCAACATCTACCTTACATTGGTCCAACTTTAGACACAATGAACCCACATCATCCTGTTTTTGATTCTTCTCGTAACAATATTGGCAGCTCAGCTAGTGGTGTGTTGAGCAATGTGACATATACTCCCCCGCTTTCAAGACCTCCTTCAAGATTAGCAGCTGGATATATGCTGAGGCCAAATACATCATGTAGCTCAAATCTGTCACAGACTTCTAATGTTAGTCTAAATCTTGGCATGGATGATGAAATCCTTGGGCGTCCAATGCATTCTACTCCAACCCCTCACTCGTAAGCATTAAAAATAATATTTTTTTTTTTTTTTTTAAATTGTTTGCTGACATTTTTTTTATTATTATTATTATAATTATTTCTAATGAATGTCCCTTCTTTTCTTACAGTGATTGGTCCAGTGAATACACACCACCTCTGAAATATTATCACCAAACTTCTAGAGACTTGATAGACCGTGATTCGTCCCTATTTCATCGACCCCCAACTACTGACAGCTTGACTAGTGAAGATAGTAGTTATGTTTCTGCAAAAGAGGGCTCCTATTCTTCATCATCTGTATCTCGTGTGCGATTTTCGCCCATTTCATCTTTGATGGCCAGTAGCTCAGGAGTGTGGAGTGGTGGCACAGAGTCTGGTCTTTATGACATTTCTTCCCTTAGCAATATTCATAATAGTACAGAGTCTCAACATGGCAATGTGAATCCCTCCTTGAGTGAAAAGGAATCCCTTGGAGATTTTGGCTCTTCCCGAATAAGATCAAGTCTCAAACGCCCTTCCTATTCACCAATGGCTGCTCGTTCAGGTATTATAATTAGATCAGTGCTGTCTTGTCTATTACCTGTACAATTAAAACTTCCATTCACTAACTCTATCTTTCTTTCTAGGGCTTTCTAGCTCTTACACAAGTGGAGATCAAATGAATAGTCTAACTGATAGCCTTCCAAATGAGGACAGCAATCACTTCCCCCCCAGAGTGCGATTCTCTCCAGTTTCAACCTCTAGACTTGGTACCATTAGTGCTCTTGCTGAAATTCAACCTGAATTAAAAGGACAATCCCCACATGATAGCATACCTGTCCAGGTAAATCTACATATTCATGAATTTTTCTTCAATTCTCTACTTAGTGAATACAACTTTTATTTCATATCTTTACAGGACTTGACACGAACTTTCAATAGACACAGTCGAGAATCTTCCCTCACACGGCAGACAACTGAAGAACCTACGAGAGAATTTTTGTCCTGAAGGTTTCTATCATTTTTATCTGTATTCATTGCCTTCGGGTTTAGTTCAATTATGAAATATTTTTTCAAACTTGATATGACTGTGTGATATGGTTTCTGGTCATGAGTCTTTTGTAGAAGTGGTTCAATATTGCCTCAGATCTATCGAACAGGGGACCAATGTTACAGTATTCAGAGTTCAATTTGTCCAGAACAAACTATGAAGGAAGAAATGTGGGCAAACAGTAATTGCATTAGACACATTGTACAGTTATCATCCTTCTAGTTGTTAACTAATTTTGATAGATATAGAAAGCTTGTTATATCCTGGTATGGATTATACATTTCAACTTTTGGGATTGAATATGTTTTGCCAGTTTTGTATGAATAGAATCTTGATGTCTAGGGACTTCCTTTGATTTTCATGAATTTTAGCTTTTTAATTTTCCGGTTTATAAACATAAAAGACATGGTTTACCCTGAGGCTGTAACATTTTTAGTGAAAGGAACTGTAGATTGCCTGACACAAAATTAAGCTTATCATTCAATAAGTCTTAAGTACATGATACATACCCTTCAAAACCCTCTGTCTATCTAGTAATACATCCCTTGTCAGTTTAAAGACAAAAAGGAAATGCTAATGTTTAATTTAACGAAGGCAAACAGTTCTCATTTATTGTCTTGTGGATTGGATGAGATGCCTGCCCATTTGCCTTTTACCCCTTCTGAGGAAATTTTAATTGTTGTACTTATTTTTTATCTTAAATCAAATTTCTTTGTTTCATCTTTCTATTCTGATCTTTCCTCATGTGTTAAGTGTTTGCACTCCTATAAAATACATAAAATAGTCAATCAATCTAAGTTACCTCATGAGTTGTGAGTTAGCAGGTATTTGTTGTTGGAGTATAAATTGGCCTGACATGTGATATACTCAAAGAAAGTGTGTGATGAATTATTCTTTTCCTTAGGAAAGATATTAGAAGTGTGAAGCACCCTTTCAGTATTAAAATATGTTTGACTTTCTTGTGAGTGGTAGGTTCCTTTTACTCCTTTTAAAACATGGACTTGTTTCTTTTCATTCCTCAAGCACTATTTTAAAATCCTGTTAAAGGGTAGGTGGTGATAATTTATCAATCGTGGAGTTCCAGTTACTATCTTTGAACCCACTCAGGTGCACATACTGTAATTATAGTAATTCAGGCTTGTTTGTAACTTAACTTGCTTAGCTATCTTGTGAAGCTGATTTTTATATTAATATTTGCCTGTGAAACATGTGTAAGTTTCTGTGATCAACTGTAGTGCCATTTTATTATTTTTGTAAGTTGGACTTATTTTAAGTGCTTGATACTAGTATTTATATAAGGGTATTGTATTTTAATTTCCATTTTATATAATGAAAGTTGACAAATTCTCTCTTAGTCTGTATGATATATGATTTTTATGAGCAATAATGTTTCATCATTCCACTTAGATCTAAAACGGGGAAAAAAGGGGGAAAATTATAAAAACAATGCAAAAATATAGCATGTTGCTGACTGTCCCTTATGGAAAAAGATATTTATTATGATGAATCATCATCTTAATGTTTATTTAACAATTAAAAGTATTACTCTGTCATGAATCATGAACAAGAAAAACAAATGTGGAAGTGAACAAGCTCTCCGAGTTTATGCTACATGTAAAGTAATAATGATGGTTATGCTGCTTTTATATGAGTAACTGCATATTGTACTTAAGACCTGTCAGAGAAGTTCTGTGTGTCATCACATCAGTGTCTGAGCTTGTACACAAGTTCCTGGAGTGTCAGTATTTGTTTGCTCTGGAAGTGACTTATACAATGATTTTTCACTTATTTCCTAATTGAATTTTCACACCCCACTGAAGACATTCCTGTTACTTTACTTCCTGTACTTTTATATTGTTTGTGTGCGTGTGAGTATGTGTGTATTTCATTCATATTTATCTGGATTTTTGCCAACATTTGATGCTTACAAACAAAAATGCACATTCCACGTGAACATGTTTGCTCAATACGAGTCATGTAATAGACTTTGTGGTCCAATCTCTATGCAAGGATGTACCGGAGAAATTTTCATAGTGAGACTAAAGCTGCTGCTTTCAATTGTTTTTGGCGAAGGGGAAGAGTACAGTCTTCTGGCTGTATTGTATGCTAGCAAAAATCAGATATACATTTGTAAGTGTTTAAAGGATTTCAAGATTTGCTTTTATATTTGTCTCTCAGACCTAAGTGGAGTGGACTATCCCTCTTCAATAATTCCTGAATATAAGGGCAAAAAATGCCTCAATTGATAAAAGAAGTCAAAGGGTAGAGATTACCATTGCTGTTTAATAAATGCCTCATCAACATATTGCTTGTATTTTGATCCCCCTATTTTGAAAGAGATTCGGTACTCGGTAGTACCCCGTGTGAGAGGGGAGGGGCTGACGTTTTGCTTCAGCTGATGCGAGCACCCTATTAACACACTGTCTGCAAATATTATTTGAAGATTTTCAAAAAGCAATTAACCTCTCTGTCTCGCATATTTTTGTCACAAAGAAGTGCTCAGTGAGCTACTTCAAAAACATGTCAAGTCAATGTGAACTTTTAAAGGCACCATTGTTGATTTTTCATTCCAACGCAAATTTGATATCTGACTTCGGAATTACACTAGGTATTCAACACCAAAGATCTCGTGGTTAGTATCAAGTTAAACCAAGGAAAAAGACACATGCCAAAATGTGGTAGAGCGTGACAAGAAATAATATCAACAAAATGAACAGTGACAACAGATTTCTATATTATTATTTACAATGAATTTACAGTTAAATTTAAAACTAAACAATCTGAATCATATGGTATACACAGTGAATTTATAACTTTAATAACAATACTGAGAGCAAATCTACATGTATGGATTTGTAACAATCACTTATTTCTTTTGAGTACAGAATGAGGCATACAGATCACAAAGTTGCACTCTGGATTGATATAATTACACAATGGGTAGAAAGAGACATTATACAACTTGGAAGATGTTCTCATGCCACTAAGGTTGTTCTGTTCCGCAGCAGATGGGTCATTCTTCATCTGCGCAAACTATACCAACAAAACTTTAACACAATAAAGATATATTTTTTAAAAAAATGAATGAGGAGACTAAATTTTACAATGAACCACAAATATGAACATGTTTCTGCTCCATTTTCTTATTAAATCTGACTCACACATATTTATCACATTTTACTGGCTTTGCCTCGTTTCACATCATAAATCAACTATGGCAGTTTCGGTTTGAAATAACTTATTTAACACATAGCTCAACTAAGACATGTATGTAGTAATGAATGGCCCATTTATGTATATGTAGTAGGTGAGTTTTGGAGCATGACTTATGAGTGAAAGTATATTTTAGAATAGAAATAGTGATAAATTGTTACGATGCAATACACTTTTAACACTTACAAACTCAAACCAGAAATTCTAATAAAAATCCTGATGAAATAGCTCGACCAACAGTATGACACATCTATTGAAAAATTGTTTAGTTTAAAATGCCTGAAAAAAAAAATCTAGAAAACAAACAAAGACTCTTGATGAATGAAAGATCTTACTTTAGGGTAATTTTCACCAGCCAAAGACCAAGAAGAACAGATGGATGACAGGGTATCTTAGAGTTTTCAGATTCTCACCAATAGATTGAACAAATAGTTAATTTGATAGTCAACGTAAAACGTCAAGATTTGAAAAATAAAATAGCCCGCCGATCAATTAAGGCCATCCATGGCAACTCAAAAGGAAAAATGAGAGGTCGCTAAATGATGGTTCACATTTGAATAATGACAGTGAACATCTGTAAGGTATGAATAGGTTAAAGAAATGAGCTAGGACATATAAATGGTCTTCCTGTCACAAGAAAAGTAGTGTACTGAGCCTGAAAAATACTGCATTTACAGAAATATATGGTGCATCATTTGTATGCAAACTGTCCCCTCTGTTGCTGTTCCAGTTTCATTTTACTGTTAGCCACAAAGTAGACAGTGCTTCAATGAATAGCAGGGCTCTGCACTAGCAGAAAAATTCAAAAAACAAAAAACAGCATCAAACTCAATGTTCACATTCAAATTGTGGGTGTCTTTGATAACTGAAAATTGTGATGGCAAAAGCATATAATTTACCAGTATTTTGAGATACACATGTCCTTCAGCACATGCCATTAACTACCTCTTAATGAACTGAAATCGGATTTTGTAATTGGTGTATGCTTTCCCATTGCCCTCATTGGAAAAACCTGTGTGACATGTGTCATCTTTAGTGATGAATTTGTAATGCACTCCACTTGTTAATGATTCTATCCCTCCAAATCAGAGGTGAGTACATCACAAACACATTCTGACAAGAGAGTGCATCACAGAATGTTTTCTGAGGAGAGTGCACCAGCTGACGAGACACATTTAACATTTGCTTTTCCAGTGTTGACAAGATTTGCATGCATGCTAAACCCATGAACGACCTGATGAGAAACCTTAGAAGAAAAAAGAATGTTGAGAACTTCGCATAATTCTGACACCATCATATCCGGTAGTGAACTTTCAAGAGTTTGATATACATTTCCTTGGTCTTTGGCTGAAGCTTGAAGCTGACCTTTAACTTCAAAAGGAAAATTGGATGGGATACAACAATATTACATGTGTTCGATGGTTTCACTTTATCTCATGTCCATCACAAACAAAACATACATTCATTGTTAAAATAGATATTAAACGATAGCATATAAAATGATAACAGAAATATCACCAGCTAAGTTCGGCCTTTGGCCAACCTTACAATTCATACTGAAATTAGATAAAAACTATGAACCGACCAGAGGTACAAAAATGAAAAGGTACACAAACTACTCATGACTGAGCAGCAAAGATGAGTTTTATGAGATTGTGAAGGAAAGATACATTAAACGAAAATCTTCCATGTATGATGCTCATCATGGAAGGAGCAAAACACATTTTTTAAAAAAAAAGAAACATTTTACACATCTGAAAGTTCCAGATCAGTTAAATCTGAGGCAAAACTGCTCACCTTTGAAAATAAAGAGAGAGAGAGAGAGAGATAGTGTAATGGGAGAAGGGGGTGTAGGAACATAACATGTTTGATTTATACCTACAAATTTAAAAACTATACTGGTAAAACACTCCATTCAAAAGCTGTTAGGGCAAGAAAGACACACAGCCTAAACAAAGTGTACATATGATAATTTAAAATGAAAACTTGTGTACTATTTCTTTAAATAAACTGAATACTGAACAGTGGACAAACTAGCCTTTCTATGTTTTCAAAATACCTAAGCTACAGCCATTGCATATATGCTTCTTTTTGTATCTCAATTCAAATTACCCCCAAAGAAAACAAAAATCTAATTTTTCAGACAACTCCTTGCATTATAAAATCCAAATGTCTCAAAAATGAGCTAAAGTGGATTTTTAAAATTTACATTTTTTTAATCAATAAAAGTGCAAGAACGTCAATAAAATTTAGATTTAAAATCTCTCTTAATATTGATGGGCTATGAAGTAGGTAGTCTGTACTGATATGTAACTGCAAGACGTGTATATTTGAGATAGGAGAAAACCATATGCTAAGTATGAAGGAAAATACATCATTTGATGTACAGTAACAGATTGTGTACCTATTCTTTTTTCAAAGTTCTTTGCGCAAATCTACAAAGATCTAACAGTTTGGTCCTTTACAAAAGTGCCTTTTAAATCTCTACGGAGGAGGACTAACAATGACAGCAAGTGATGAAATCTACATCATGATTGATACCAGTAAAATCAGAACATGTACTAATTAGATAGACCAAAACAAACTACATGATTGATACCAGTAAAACAAGGAAATGTACAATTCAGATTGTTCCAAACATAAAATTAGGCTGAGCAAGTTCATCAGAATACAGCACTTTCCAATACACAAAGTGCATAATAATGGATAATGTTTTACAAAAGGATAGCAAGGGTGTCTCATCCAAAAGTAAACATTAGTGAGTGAATTGATTTCATTAACAAGTGACCTATTATCAAATTGATCTAAAAAAATTAAAGATTGAAGAACCCTCCATGACATTTCTAATAACATATTTGCACGGAGGTACCACGGGATGAGAACAAAAGCTCCATTTGGTGCTAATGAAGCAATGCACATACATCCAGACTTCATAGAGTTTTTCACTCCCATTTACTACACTTAATAAAAATAATTCATATCAAAATGACGCCACAATAAGAAACTTTCTATCACAAGAGTGTTGTCACACATTAACTTGCAGCACTAAAGCATGCAACCTTTACAAATTCCAGAAGTGTACCAAGATCCTGCTTGAATAGACCTTACACAATCACTGCTAGTCAAACAACTATGTGTCATAAATAATGCAGGAATTTCATGATATCATTTCATGAATTGAAATCATAACATTACCAGTAGGTAATGTCTCATTTAATTTGTCAACAAGATGCAAACAAGTGGCATACATTGACAAGAGCCACTTGGTCAAAATTTTTGTTTGTACACTATACAATCAACTTAACACAACAGGTAGCTTAACTCAAGCCAGTACTTACATCTAATACATATATTAAAAAGACATAAGTTCCTAAAATGTGGCAACTGTCAATGGCTAACAACTGGGCTTTGTTGAACACACACTCCCACCATTGGACTATCTTCACGATCACTACCACTTTGCCCTGGGTTGGAGCTTTGCTTATTCAGTTTTGGGGCTCCAACACTCAAATCTGCCTTTGACAAACCGGGTTGACCTGACACAAAGCTATAGCCAGCTGGAGCTATGACAGATGGGTTTTGGTGACTTGCAGGATATCCTTGGTTGAAATAGCTGGCTGTTTGCGTGCCAGCAGATCCAACCAAGGGGATGTTCAAACTGCCAGTTTGCGTACAGTCTAGGCTGGGCAGTTGCTCCATGGGTAATGACTGTGGAGCATAGCGAGACACAGGCTGCTGGCTTTGCATAAGCCTGCCAAGGCCCATGTGGTGATGGGGGTGTATTTGGGACACTTGATGAGCTCTGGTGTAGGACGGTTCACACTCCATTGCAGTAGCTTGAGAGGGATGGGAGGCGTGCGTCATATGGGACAAATAAGAGCCAGTGTATGTGGCATCTGCCCAATCTCGAGTGCCTGCACCCACCAAGCCTGTAAACATAAAAGCATGACATAGTCAAAAGTGCAAATTTAACTTTTACTGCAGTTACTTTCACAGTCTGGAAATTAGATTGGATTGTTCACTGCCCACTTTATTTGACACTACGTAGAACATTCTTCGTCTAGGTTGCATTTCACACCCTACACAAAAATTAAGTTTCTCGACACACTACTTCACTTTAATTACAATGAGGGTTAAGACGTCAGTTCACATGAACTCGAATCACCGGTAACTTAGGTCGGACGTCAGTCCGCGAGCGGACCATCCCCTGCGTCCCAGCTAGTGCTGGACATGTCTGTGGTTTCAACAGGGGGAAAAAACCATTACCAAGTGGCTTAAAATGCAAAACTTTAACAAAATTTTAAAGGTATAATAACAGTTGACTCTAGTGATAATTCTGCAGGCAATTCTGAGGCCTCTCTCTTTCTCTCTTAGTAGCCAAGAAGAAGAAAAAAACAACTTAAATTTTGTTTTTTAATATATTAAAGAATAGGAAAAACTACAGAAGTCATTTTAAAAAGCGCAATTGAAGAGAAAAAAGAAAATGAAAGAAAGGTCAAATGCAGAGAGACATTTTTCACAACATTTAGCATTGATTGAAATTTCAGGAAGAGTAAAAGGAATAAATACAACATAAACCAAAGCAAAGAAAACACATAAACTGAGAGAAGGTTGAAAGAAACAGCCAAAGCATGCATCATCATGCAAGGACAGTAAGTACAACTAGCAAATAGCATTCTTAAAACAACTAAAATAATAAAAATGAATGGTAAGAATTTACCATGAAACTACACTAGTATGCATTCACTATGCTGCATAATAGCCACTTACTGCTAATGTCTAGGAGTGGCTCCCTCCTCCCAGGCTAATTCACTGTCATCGAGTCCACAGTTCAGCTGCATATGAACAAGTAACGCTTAATTAAATGACAGTAGAGAAAAGAATTGGTTCTAGTCAGATGTAACTGACATAATCCCCTTTTATAACTTTTATAAAAGTAGCACCATAAGTTTTTAATATCAATAACAGCAATTATCAGCTATACCATCAAGACTCAGAAAATTTGTGTAAAATTGATTAACTTTCTTGTCCTTCTTTACCCCCTTCTGTTCTTAACTTTGAAAAGAGGGATAGAAGACAAAAGGGAAAGCTGTTAAGTGTCATAGTAAATGCACCTTTCCCAGATATAACAAAAAGGCACACAGCATGGCAAAGTGATGGTTTCCCTGTTTCCTGTACACCTACATTTCCTTCAAAAGCAGTGGAATAGAAAGTTCAGGATTAAAAGAACTATTCGAAAAAAAAAAAAAATTATCCATCAAGCTGGAAATCCCCAAGAACACTGGCAATAAGGCAGTCCAATACATTTTTGCAGCATTAAAATGTCAAAGAAAAACAATTCAGAGTGAAAATGGAAACAAAACTGCATCAAAAATAACTTGAGAGAAGATGTTTAAAATATTGAAATTAATAGTTAATTAAATCATTATTTTTTACATTATTTGAACTTATAATGTATGATGTGATGTAGGAAGCAAATTTTAAGATTTGAAATGCGTCAGATAAAACAAAATATCTGTCTGTAGGGTAATCCACTGCAGCATGTGAGTAATAGAAAATGTAGGAGGTAAGATTAGCTACATCTTAAATGTTTTTATTTGTATTGTGTTAATAATGATTTCAATGACTGGTTTGGCTAATGTCAAACAGAGCTTCCTCTTTCTCTATTTTTGTTTCTGATGCAATAGTATGCTCTATTTGTAGTGATTATGAGGAAGCTGCAGCTGAAGCAGGTACAGCAATTCTGAAATAAAGCTAGAAAAAGCTCCACAGCTATACAAGCCATCCATAAAACTGTTAACTGCAGAGCATATCACAAAGATCATGAAGAGCGTTTGATAGAATCTAATGAAATTTCCCACCTACTAATGCACCCACACTACAATCTATTTATCAAAATATAAATTTTGAAAAGAATTGAACATCTGCAGCAAATAATATTCACAACCAAACTTAATTTGGGAACCCACATCAAACTTATAAACTGAACTGTATTAGATAATGTGTATTTAAAACGTTAAAGTGTTAAAAAGTAGAAATCTTGGAAATCAGAACTCCTATGAACCACATAATTCCACAACTAATGAAGGAACTGTCTTGTTGAGGTACTTTAAAATTTAAACATTAATGCCTGTAAATCATGATATTGTAAACTTTGCTGAAGCCACCAAACCAAAACAGTTATTCTTTCACTAATTAAAACATACCTTGTTGTTGAGCGGTTGAACCTGCTGTTGATGTAGATGGACTAGAACCCACCATTGATTCGGGGTGTGAGGAAGTATGCGTTGTGTGACTTGGATGTGATGAATGTGAGGAGTGTGAAGCTACAGCTGGACTTGTGCTTGCACTCCCACTAGGACCACCTGATATACACAACAATAGAGAGCTTTTAATCTTTCGAAAAGGTTTAAGACTACTTGTTCATGGCGAATAGATAGGTTGATAAGATTGATCTGACTGTATTATTCTTCAATCTCCTTCAATTATACTTATATTCTATCTCACTCAGCAAAGTAAAGAGAGTATGAGTGCAATGAATCAAAGTAATAAAAAAAAATGTATCTTACACACCTGAATTGGTATTTGTGGATTCATCCGCAGTGCGTTTGAAGAAGTTGTGCTGTAGTGCATAGTATGGTGTCACTCTTGTTTTGGGATCATAGTCTAGCATTCTTAAAATAAGATCTTTAAATTTAAGGTAATCTGAATTTGAGTGACCAGGTTCACCTAAACGCCGACCACCTGGACCCCAACTGTCCACTCCTAATAAATCATGTAACCTTCGAGTGCCAGGTAATCTAGATAGATAAAAATAATAAAAATAAAAGAGACAACATAAGATAAAATAATGGACACAGGTGTAAAAATGAGTTAGGAAAATTCCACTAAATACTTACTTATACTTCTTTCCATCTCTAATTTTTCTAAGAACGTAAGAACCATCACTG